TAGGGTTCCAACTATCTTGATTAGTTTATAGTAAGTTTATGTAACAGTGAAGTTGCCAATAAATAAATAATCATCAAGAACACCGGGGCTTTAATTTCACAACCAGCAACCCTACAAAACTCTTTATAGTAGGTAGGAACCTAATCCATGAAAAAAAAACGTAAAATTTTGTCTTTGTTACTCGTATAGTATAAAGAAGAATTTTTATCTGAAAACTATCAATTTTACTGAAGAACAAAATCCTTAAATGTCGACAAGGTAAACACTGTTCTTGTCCACCGTTACACCCGCGAAAGTGCCGATTTATTTTTTATATACCATTTACTTTTATGTATTGGGCCTTAAATTCTGTGCAGTCAATCTGTTAGGGTTGGTTCATGCATTGCTGGGCTTAACTGGCACCTTTATGTAGGCATATATACCCAGAATTCTACATTAACGCACTCGTGTGAAATTTCTTTGTCGAATCGCAATAGTAATGAATATATATTTTTTTTATTTGCTGTATCGAAAAATGCAGATGATTTACATGTCCATTATATTCGACCCATTTTTTACAGTTGCAATTTTGTTTATTGAAAATTTTACCGGATTTTTATTCTATAAAGATACATGAGATCATTAATATGCATATAGACTGACAATAAAAAACGTGGTCCCTGTCAGTGGCCAGTTCATTGAGTAACTTAGTTTACAGAAAACCGACGTGAAGCAACTCTTGCGTTGTGTTTCGTCGTGTAAGTAAGGTTACCGGAGGCCCAATTATCCTCCCCTTCCCTAATCTCCCCAATCCCTGAATCCCCAACGATCCTCAAACTCCTAATCCCCAAATGGCCGGTAACACACTTGTAACGCCTCTGGTGTTCCAGGTGTCCATGGGCGACGCCGATTGCTTCGCCGATTGCGCCGACGCATCAGGTGATCCGTCTGCTGGTTTACCGGCTTATGCCATAAAAAACTGACGTAAATGTTTATAAAGGATAAGGCAATTAAAATGTAAGAAATTTCATATAAAGAAAAGAATGAAAAAAGTAGGTGCCCACTATAAAACAATTATAAAAAAATTACAACTACACGTATAACGAGCTCTTCATAAAGGAACCGATAAAACCCTAACCCAAATACTTGATCGAAACTCAGTTTATTTTTAGAAAGCATGTCCTTTTTTTTTTAAAGCGGAAAATCATCGAATGTCTGCTCCTGCCTGGGTGAGGCGGAAGGGAGTGTCAGACTCTTACTGACTAAAAACCACCCCGTTCCTTCTCCTGCACGTCGATCCGGAGCCCCGGTTACCCTTTAGGTTCTCCGCGACTCCGAATCGGCATCGGCTTTGTTGGGTCCCATCTGTGGTGGTCTGATGGCTGTTTGAGGCGCGCGCGGAACGCTCGGCACCGTACGCTCGGGTCTGTTTCTGGTCGGACGGGGAGCCACCCATGCTCGCCGTCCGCAGGCCCGCAAAGAAAGTATGTCTAGTCTGGTCTTATTATGAAAATACTCATGAACTCACATTAGCAAGTTAATGAAACCACCATGTTCGTAAGATCAAGTTTTGGTCAAACAAGAAAACGCTCCGCAGTTTTCAAAGCGGATGTTCTAAGGAAAGGGAACTTTTCGCTAAAACTTCGACTTTGCAATTTTATAAGGAAATTCTTTGAGCTTGTAACTTTTCCGCATATTACGGGGTTTTTGGCATAATAGACATTGTTTTGTCTGCATTGATGTAATCGTTTATTTACGTATCATTTGGTATGCTTTGATTATTTTATATCAAAAACTAAATTACAATTGAGTGCCTCATTGACCGAGTGGTAACAAACAAGTGCGACTGCCGGTCGGGTTCGATTCCCGGGTCGGGCAAAGTATTACTGGGTTTTTTAAAAAAAATCTCAGTGGTAGCACGAAGTCTGGAATTGTGCCAGGTATATGGCAATAGGCTCTCCCCCTGTTATATGGGACTCGTAACATAAATAGTGAAAAGTGAGTGTTACATTGTACAGTGGCATTAAGTGCCGCAATGTGCACCTCGGCCTATAAAGGGATAGCCCTTTGGGGATAAAAGGCGCGATGTTTTGTCATGTTATGTAACTAAATTACAATGAAAAACGTAGCTAATACCCGAATATTGAAATGCTACGAAATTTTAAGTTTTAAGTACTTAAATATCGTATCATCCTTACCATATTACAAAAAAAAATGTAGTGACAGCTCGATACACGATGAAGCGCTACGTAAAACTGAGTAGCGTTTGCGTAGATCGAAATAAGCTTTTTTTATGTAAGATTTTTTATACGTAAGCATTACGCATTAATTAATACGGACTTTCTCTTGCATAATACCAAAGCAAACAAAAAAAATCTTATGAAACAAAGAATAAGAATCTTTAGCTTGTGAAATATAAGGGCGTCTTTTAAGAGAACAACTGCATTTTTCCCAGTTCATTTTCCTGCATATGAACCTTAACTATGCTGAGAGTCACGATCTCCAAAAGTATAGAGGCTTTAGTACGAGTTTGTTTTACGTTTAAAGCAATCGTAACGAGTACGCGTTCGGGGCTCTGATTGGTTGGTTAATTGGAGCCGACCAATCAGAGTGCCAAACGCGTAATCGTTTCGAATACTTTAAACGTAAATCAAACTCGTACTAAGGCCTCAGTATGCAAAGAGCGCGAACTCTTCTCTTTACTTATTCATATATATTTGTTTGCAATATGTTAAATAAACTGAATAAAAAAATAATGCGGAATAAAATATTCATAGCAATCGTCAATAACAATATTGAGAAATTCCATTTTAACTTATTATTGCTTAAACTTTCGTTAACAATTTAAATAAATACGAATAAAAAAGTTAAAATTCTTTTCGGTTCGTTGCTACCGAGAATTTAAGTAAAACAGGCAATAAGTATACACAAAAGGGTACCTTCCTCCCTTTAAAAAAGAACTAAATAATAAAACTCATTATCCGATCAACTATGAAATAGTCCTGAACAGCTAATTTCGGTACTTGTCGGTACTCGTCCGTCCGTATACAACAATCGTTCAATCATTGCTCCTATTGTCGAAAGAGTGCCTTTCATACAAAATCATAATTCATATCACAATACCAGAAAATAAGGCCTAAGAAAAATATTCGAGGAAAAGTGATTCCTTTTTATCATATTTTTGTGTGACCCTACATTTATTTCTACTACTTGTACATAACATAGCTTTCGTATGTTTTATTCAAAAAAGTCAACTGAATTGGAACTTATTGTGCCTCAAAATAAAGATCAAAACCCTACCAAAATATGGTAAAGTACTAATGAGTAATTTACGTAAGTACGACGTAATGACGTCACATGAACTATTTTTGTTACAGTACACAGATATGGTCGTAACTTTTGTAAAATCAACAAAGTTACCACCAAAACGAGCAACAACAGTCCATGAACAAATAATTACAAATCTGAAAACGATTCTCACCTCAATCACTTTAAAAGTAAACAAGGCTATCGATTAAAATAATCCGCTAATAGAGTGCCTAAAAACAAAACAACAAAGGCGAGAGAATCAAAATAATTAACAATAGACCTCAAATTGTACCCAAAAAGCAATTTCCGTGAGTCTCCATTTAATCCTTTATAACTAACTTAAGATTAACAATGAAAGTTACAATCGTCTCTTAGAACAAAAGGGCTAATGTGATACCTACATTTAATTATGTATTCAAATACATAAATATGCGGTCACACATTGTACAAGGAGGTTTAGACGGGGTTTATGGGTGATTACATTGTGTTGACAAAGTTTCTGGGCTGAATAATTGTGATGGATCATTCGACGTAAATTTTGAAGTCAAAATGTTTGGGAATGATCCCAGATGCTTTTGTAAATGGAATTGAAGACAAAGATGGTGTTTTGAGTGATGAAGATGGTGAATTTGGTGAAATGAAAAAGAGTGATTGTAGTAATTATTTTGTTTTAGTAAAGGAAGTTGTGTAGAAGGGTGCAAGACAGATGTTTCGTCTAATTACTGTTTAAAACATACCAAAACGATCTTCAAAATGATTTACTTCATTATCATGACAAAAACTTCAAACTAAAACATCATAACTCAATAAGTATACGTTCCTTAGGATAGCCGACCATTGACCCAGAATTTGTTCTAGTTTCAGTATTACATGACAACAAAAGAACAAATAATGTAAGTCCAAAAAAAGACTAAACTAAAAAAGTACTGCATCAAAAAAGGTCTAGAGAGACTAGTGTGTGAACAGTCTCTAATATCCTTAGGTCAGGTCAGGTATGGGTTAACAAAACTAATTTATTTACAAAAAGGTCCGCTCTTAACTGACAGTTGGCTGACACAGGTCAAAATTAACAACGCTTTGACGTGACAAAATGTAACATCATACCTTTTATTCCTGGAAGGGAAAACAGAGGTGTGCTTATGGTATGCTCACTTTTCGGGTTTCGCGGAATGACAGGAATGGAGAGTTCTATAATATTATTATGTCATTTCGCAGTGACACTAAACCTATAAAAGTTAACCTTCTTTTGTTGTATTGTACTTTATAGTACTGTTGTGTTGTACTTTCTAAGATTATGTAGACACCACTGACAAATGGTGAAGAAAAATACCGTGACAAAACGTAGGCTTTCTAATTATAAGTTTTAAATAGCCACCCGAAATGAGCAAGCGTGGTGATTAATGCTCAAGGCTTTTAGTTAGCAGTGGCCACTTAAAGGCTGTTGATGATGAAGAACTAGACTTCGTTTTAACTGAAAATAAGTAAATAAACGTATAGCAAAAAAACACTTTCATAATGAATATATTCCCCTTGTCTACATTGTGCTCCCGTGCCATACTAGAATATTAAAAAAATACGTGAACAATACCACGTACATTCATAGTTTCTATTCACATTTTGTTATATTTTCTTCCATACTCTAGTTTTGCAACTAGAGCGCCAAGTAATCTAGACACCTCAAGCAGATATTTTTCTTAGATATTTATACGTACTTGGGGCTCCACGTACCTGGTTTTATAGTCTGAAAAGAAGAAAAAGTTGGAATTAGTTTGATGTAAAGCAATTTAAGTACGCACATAAAGTTGATACTGTCATTTATTCTTGAAGAAGTTTTAGTTGTAGATGGAAAAGTAGAAATGTGTTGATATTAATCTGGAGCTACGAGAGTCATATTTAGTTTCAAAATACATATCAGGTTTTTAGTCATAAATATGAGATGATCTGCTTCTTTTAAGGGGGAAAACTCTTAAGGGGGTTTGAGAAGGACTGTCAGACTCTTACTGATTAAAAATCAACCCGATCCTAATACTGCTCGTCGAGCCGGAACCCCGGCAACCCTTCGGCCTTCTGCGGCTCCGTAAGGTGGTCTGTTTAACTTGGAATTATAGAATCGGAATCAAAAATAAATACCTAATTTAACCAGTTCTAACACACCGAAAGACTCCTATAAGATAGACCAACTCGCCAGCATTTTTGATTAGCAAAAATTCAATCTTTGTCAGCATAATATTTTTGTCACGTATACCAGAAATAGATTATTTTCTTTGACTAAGTAATTACTCCGTCACTAATAGGCTTGACAGTTCTAACAATTGGTATCCATACGTAATCCTGTTCAAGTGAAGACGATAATCTATCATCCAATTAGCAGTTCAGAGTTAATCCAAATAATGAACAACATGTTATTTTAACCAATCATCGGTCGACGACTGGGGCTATTGATTCGTTAACCAATCAAAGTGCCTTTAATTGCCGTAACGAAAATAAGTTATACAGAGTGAACTTACTCTTGATGTGTACCTACTCATATATTTTTAAGGGTAGGTGATTAGGGTACTGTTAAAAACATAAAATTATGCCTTTTATCCCCGAAGGGGTAGGCAGAGGTGCACATGACGACACTTAATGTCACTGTATAATGTAACACCAACTTTTCACTATTTATGTTATGAGTCCCATGTAATAGGGGGTGATCCTATTGCCATATATTAATCACTATCACTTGATTTGAATATTTCACATTTACTCGGAGTTATGAAAGCATTTTTTTCTAATACAAATCATATATTATAAAAAATTATGATGTTCATCTCAACATCAATATTTCATTCCGAGTACCTACAGCACGCATTACACGACAACATACATTTTTAGATGTAATACATTACGTACCGGTTTTACAATTCATATGGTAAATGGGTAAAACCATGACATCCCCTTCGCATTCCAATCTTGACCTACATTATGCCTTGCAAATTTTTATAGAATAACCTCAAAACACGCTAATGCCAAAGCTGTGTTATTTTAGAATCACAATGAAATAATTAGTTAATCTCAAGATAAACTATAATTTTTGAAAAACAAATTTTGTTACTGAACGGTTTTGTGCCTAACTACTTACTTCATTTTTTTACTTCATTTGTTAACGAAAATTATAACCCTCCTTTTGGCTTCGCCGTAACCGGGTAATTTATCTATGGGTTCGAATTCTTCATTTGCTAAATGAAGAATCTACAGATTGTTGTTCCAGGTCTCAGTGTCATGTGTAGGTATGTGAACTTGTATGTAAACGCACCCACGATACAGGAGAAAATCCTAGTGTGGGACAACATTTAAAACAAAAAAATCTGTTTGACCTAAAAGAAGTTCTTATACAACATTAAACTACTAAAACTTAAATCGGCTGCATTTTAAATAAAAATGCGCTCGAGCAACTGAAAGTTATTCCTAAGGAAGAAACTGCAAGGAGCAAAATAGACGCAATTTACTGTAATGCTAATTTCGTGCAATTTGCTTTTGCTATCATTTCGTTATTATAGTACTTTATAAAGTATTAATATATTAGCTTCTTTGAGAGAATTTGTTCACATTATAAACTTAGAATAAGTGTCATGACTATTGTCACAAAAGGTATAAGTAGAGTAACCACAACGGCTAACGAGTCTTCGTCATCTTCACACTTTATTTATCAATGAAAATATCAAATTAAGTACGCATTTTAAAATTCTATTTTCTTCAAGTTAGACCAAAAATTTTAAGATAATTCAGCTAATTGGCAAGTACCCTAGCATCTTGATAACTTCCTACTTCGGTGACAGGTAAAAGCGACCCAAATCAATTGAGATAAGGACATTAATGAGTAAGCAATTTATTTTCACCAAAAAACCTCTTAGGCCCATCTATTCCTGCGAAGCATATAATTGTTCAGATTTCATTATTCTTCATTACAGTAGAGAGAAGAAAATTCGTCGGCTAAAGTAATTATTTTCGATCGTATCCAAAGGTCTCATTGGATGAAAGGTATAAATTAAATTTTGAAGTACTGGACGGCCCCTCGATATTCATAGCATTTATTGGAGACACTTTTCCCTATTAAGTATTTCAATTATACTTTGGAAATGAAAAAATCTAATTCAATTTTTGCAATGATGGTTACTTTGCAAAACACTTTCGTTCGGCCTTTTAAGATTTTAATGTTTTAAAAGAAAATGTAAATGTGTTTATGGAGACAGAATGCTACCTCTCTCAAAAACAGGAAATTATTTTCCTGTTTTTATTAATTTAACTTAAAAATTACATACAATATAATTCATAGCTGCTTACAGAAAAATGATTTTAAGATATAAAGACTCCTTTTAAATCACTTGCATTATTAATTAATATAGACGACTATAAGGAATTGTAACTCTAAATGTTATATTCAAAACGAATATTGTCTACCCAATTTCATCAGCACTAAAATAGATAAAATAATGAAGCGACACGTCGTTAAGGCAACATGACCCTTATTAGAGTCAACATTAGTGTCAAAGCTGCGAATTTGCAGGTGATTTCGGAAAATATTTTCACTGGCAATATTTTAGTAGACTATGTGATGTTTAACTTACGAAATGAGAGTGGGATAGCAATCCCTTTCGGTGACATTAAAGGCCCAAGTCCAGTGCTACATTATGGCGAACGTTTTCGCGGATACATTTTTAATATCACATTCATTAATTTGGAGGTTTAATATAATTATTAGTCGAATGCAAATACGTATACAGAAACTGTTAAAGACAATGAACTCATTATGACAATAATGAAACAACCTTCCGATTTCGTAATTCTAAGGTCTTACAACACGTGTTCTAGAAGTCTGCTAGCATTTGGCGTTAGATTCATTCTCTCATACTATGAAACATAATAAAAAAAAACTCCGTATTATAAGTCAGTACTAACATGCCCTTCATGAACCAAGGCAAAAATGTTCGCTTTATGTGACGCTAGTCTAAGGGCTGTACTGTCAAATTAGAGTTTCTTGCTAAGCCTACTTAGAGCATGTTAGTACTTTAATTTTAGCCCAACTGAGACACGACCTAAATAAACCAAACTTTGTGGACTTACTAACAGGGAAACAGTTCATGTTTAATGTAGACTCGTACTTAGTTACTCGCTTATATTTTAATTTCATGCCTTTACTCTAAGGACTCGCGTGAAAGTTTAAGCGACCACGTTAACATTTTAATGAAACCTACATTTGCTTGAAATTCTTTTGGCTGCTGCTTATTTAGTAGACGTAGAAAATACTCAGGGGTTTTGTAGTCTAAATTACGACTAGATTGAAGTCTATAATCATAAAATGTTTCATTAAATTGAAGTCCAAAATAAAATCAAAATCAGCAGCAGCGCGACAGTAACCGCGTTGCATAATGCTGCTCATGAATATGAGCCTCTAGCTTGACTAGAAACTAGTCGAGTTCCTCGTCAAATAATTACGTGAGTAACACGAAATTTATAATATAATCATAAAATGTTAATTCTATCTCGCATTGCCAATCAGAAATGAGAAGAATATTTTATTAGATGGGGCAAACTAGCAACCCTATGTAACTAAAGTTACACAATGAACTAATTAACACAAATACACCAGTAAACCTAATTGTAATGAAGCTTTAAACTAAATATATGATGTGTTAAAACAAACTACAGCAATTCACTCCTTACTTTGAACTCGCAATACACTTAAAACAATGGCGCTTTGATAGTCCAGACCGCTATTATGTTCCCCGTTACCTCAACAATTGATTTCCTAACGTTACGCTGAAAGCTACAACGCTGTTTTATTTCGTATTTCTTTTCTTTCTTAATTTAGTAGTAGCTCTTTGATTCCTTCCATTGGTTACTAAACTAAGCTTTCCTTTGAAGTCATTAAGTATGTGTACTGTGTAGTATTTAATTCTGTTTGCTTTTCATTTTGTAGCTGAGCTAATGTGATAAAAACAGTTTTGAGGAAAGATATTTTTAAAAGTTAGGATTAACTAAAATCGCGGGTTACTCACGTGAATATACTAAGAAAAGCTCTACTAGTTTCGAACCACAGAGGGGTTCTTCCTCATGAGCAGCGTGTGCGGTCGCGGCGACGTCGCGCAGCTTACGGTTTTTTTATACAATTTATTATGTCTCACGATTGTTATTATAAAAACATAAAAGTTAGGAATATAGAAACCATGTTTTATCCTGTCAGTGTCTCCCAGAATTTTGATTTATTTATTTTACTTCCCGATTTATATAAATATACAAAATATACAAAATGGCAATTACAAATAAGGCTGTATATATAATCAAACACATACCATCATAGACGACCCCCAAATACAAGAAGAAATAACAATTTTTGAGAACGCACCAAATTAAATTGCTGGCTTACCAACCGAAAACAAGTAAAACGTTAAAGTCCATAAATTTTAATGGAAGCGAAATTTCGAATATAACGCAATAATGTCTTTGAACAATAACATTCGTGTTCCATTAACAGAAATTTTCCTGAATGTCGTTTCACAAACAGCTTTTAACATTTACACAGACAACGTCAAACAAAAGTGTGCAAAACGTTAGCAGAAGCATACGTCTATTATTTAAATATAACTTCCATACATTCACAAAAGTCAAACTGAAGTGTTTCAAAATCGCTGTACTTATTCGCTGTTCCAGTGGCCTTTATATCCTTGAGTTTGTAAACGAGGATTTCTATTGCTTTCAGTA